ATATATATATATACATAATATATATATTTATATACTAAAAGAAAAGTGTATTCTAAGAAAGTAATCGAGATTATTAAAGTGTAACAACGTGAGTCACGTATATTGTAGGCTGTCATCCTGTGACGTTACGATGGCTGTGCCCAATTTTTGCTGTATATAGTATTATTTGTTTACATTTTACACAATCTCCACCATTCAATTATTATTACGAATTAAAGCAACTTTCTGACGTCACAACCGTGTTCAAACTGTAAATGAGGCTGCGTACTGCACACAACCAATCTCCTCATACATCATATCGTGTGAACTTTTTTATGACCACAGCATAACATAGGTAAAGATCATGTTTTTCTACAGTTTTCAGAGTAAGCATCTGTGAAACAAATATCCTGATATTTAGACAAAAGATAACATGTATATGTCATTGTTTTATGATGTTAAATATTAGGTGGACAGAAAAACACACGTGTTATAATTATGACTTGTTAAATATTGTTTCCTGTGGGTACAAAATATATCGTGACAGGGCAAAATTAAAATAACAAACACTAGTCTACCTACAAATGACAGGACCACTCTATCATAAAAGTGCATATTGATTGTGTTACTGCTATAAAAACATCCGCCAGATTACTTTCTGTCTCAGGAACTATGATGAGCCAATTCACTCTATAATAAAGTGCATTAGTTTTTCAAGGAAAGTGTGACGTTGATCCCGGAATAGTCCATTCTATATTAAATCGAACTATTAGGCGGGAAAATTGTGGTCATGCTGTCATGGCCAATGCTTATAAATGTGATAGGAATGTTTTCTTTGGTACCATTACCTGAACGAACGCTAGAGTGGATTGGAGTTGGGAGAAGAAAATAAGACGCCGATTTCTGAAGTAAATTCGATACTGATATCTTTAGAAGACAAAACTCTTTCAGAAACCTCCGCATAACCTATCTGAAAGAGCGTCTTACTGAAGGTGTTTATGGTGATTTCTGGTTTTTCTTCTTAAAACATGAAATTGTTTTTGTATTTGGTTTATTCTACTGTAAGTGGTGTTACACTAAAAGCGCTGGGTAAGTGAGTTGCATTTTGTAACTATTTGAAATCTGAATATCATAATGTGTTACCGAAAATAACATTAATGATGATCATGATGATGAGAGTAATAATAATAATAATACTAATAATAATAATTACAATAATAATAAGCCTAATACTAATAGTATTATTAAAAGTCATAATGATGATGACAATAATGTTAATAATAATAAAATAATAATAATAATGATAATGATGACAATAATAATATTAATGATGATGATGTCACATAGTTACCAACCGTCTCGCATCGTGTGGGACGGTTTCGCATTTTACAGTGATTTTGGATGAAACACGCATTTTTCAGAAACACATGCGTGATTATAAATTTGTCATGCATTTAGCACAAGTACATGCGGGATAACGAATTCGGGGGAAAATGTATTTAAAATTAGAAGAAATTGTTTTTTATCAAATATAGCCTATAAAGAAGGTCATGCAGTAGCTTTAGTTTATAGAGATATTTCGTTATCTCGTTCGAGAATCAATTCAGGAGGGAAAATTTCTCTTTCCCCACCAAAACAACACAGCCAACGAACCACGCACTTAGAATCTAGTCGCATGCGGTCTTGCGCGTTCATTGTGACTGGAACCAGTCGACACCGGGGGTTCCGCCCCTGGCACCCCACCGCTCGCACCCCCACCCCACCCCGCCCACTCGCATTTCAAAACTCTCAGGTTGGTAACAATGTGGTGATGATGACAATAATAATAATAATAATAATAATAATAATAATAATAATAATAATAATAATAATAATAATAATAATAATAATAATAATAATAATAATAAATCAAATTTTACCAATTTTATTAAATTGTTTTGAAAGTTCTCTAAATAAAAGAATAAAACCTCATGTTATATCTGATTAAAACACAGAGAGGAGCCCGGTTGCCAAAATGGACTAACTCAGAATTTTGCAAAAGAATTATTAGCCTACAGTAATAATAAAATAAAGCTCACTTCAATAATTTTATAACCAAATGATTTTCCTAGTTACTATCGTTATATATACTGTACAATCTACTATTTGCCCATTCAAAATCGTTGGTAGTTCTGATATTATTTGATATCTAGGTCCTGGTGTGGTCTCTCTCCCTGCCTGCTTTAATGGATCTGACGGCATTCTTAAAGGAAATATTTGCAATCCGAACGACCCGCAGCAATGCGACAGTTGCGGCACGAATGGAGTTTGTATTCACAAAAATATGACTCAAAACTTCTGTGAAGACTTCTGTACCAGTCATGGCTTTCAGAACTTTGGATTGGAACATCCAAATTATTGTCACTGTGGACGATTTGATTACATAATGAATTACGCACCTATCAATGATAGCCTGTGCCAACACTCATGTGCTGGAAATAAAGAGCAATATTGTGGTGGGAATGGTACCATTTGGATCTCTGGAACGTCGACTAAAATAACTCCAAGTAGGCCTATAAACGTTTTCAGCAGTAATTTTAAGTGTTTTTCCTTTTCATTGCAATGTGTGTGGTGGATAAGCTATCTTATACATTCGATTATATTATTCCCTCATAGGCCTATTGTTTCTAAAACGTTGCTCTAATATGCATAAGACGCTTTGTGCAAGAATTGCATTTAGCACGTAAGCTTCTAATGGGGCCGATAGAACATAGGACTTATTAATTCAAATTACACTGGTCTAATGCCGTTAATGTAGCCATGATCGTTATATACCAGTATTTAATATGATTTTAGACCTCTTGATATATCTAGACCAAAACTTTTCAGTAGACCAGACATCCTCTGCAATGCATGTAGTCAAGGCGTTTTCCATGATCTTTGTAGTCTTGGCCTAATACATCATCTATATTAATAGACTAAATACTATTCAATGATCTACAATCGAGATATTATAGGATAGCCTTTTCCACGAATTTTGATATATACTATACCTCTGCTTTTATATATGCTAGACCTTTTCCATTATCTATATGCCTTTAGGTCAGACCACTTATATATTACAAGCCTATTATATACAATGTATAGGTCTATATCTAATATATAGATCTCTGGCAGTCTAATCACATGCGATACTAATGCTTTATCAAACACGTTGAAAAGAATGAAAATAGAGTCAGAACTGGCACTTTGATTCACCACACTCCTATGTACTTAAGTTGTAGTGATTCTCGTCAATCGTCATGTACGCGAAAGGTCTCACTATATGTTTGTAAGATCAAAAACACAAGAAAATCCATAAATTGACTGGGAGGACGTGTCAATTTCAAAGGTTTATGCATATATTGTTGAGGGATACAGTAATATATTTTCATTCTAATCACTTTTTTAGATATAAAAGTAATACATTTAAATATTGACTTTTATTTTCAACACAGCTTCATATTTTACCATTTACAACTCGATTGTTCAACCTTAATATTTTAGCAGGAGTATAGTGCGCCCTCAGTAATATCACAAGTTGATGCGCTAACGAATAGGCGTTTTAACGGTAAAATATGTTTAGTGAATTTGTAAGTTCATAAAGTTCTCTTTAACACTACATATTTTTAAAATAAATGTTCTATCGATTTGATGAATCCATGCAGTAAAACCGGTTTGGGCGAACAGTAGGCCTATCTAGCATCAATAACGATTGATTTGTATTTCATTATTACAGAATCTGAGACGAGTACAACATTACAACCAACAACCATGTCATTCGACAATAAATTAGAGATGCTTGTAAATCAATCAGCCATGTTAGATGAAGCGACTACTTTGGATCACCTGGTACTTCTTGCAAATGACTTGTATACTTTGAGTAATCTTCGATCATCACCTAAGGTACTACCTTCCTAAATACCTCCACGGGCTTTTCCCTTTTATAGATTTGCTAAAAATGACGTACCAGTATTCAAATTAGATTTGCTACATATTACCTTAAACACAGTACAAACAAATACGGATGATTGGATAGATGAGTTTCTGGATAGATAAATTGATGTTGTTGATGACAATGACAAAGATGATGGTGGTGGCGGTGGCGGTGGTGGTGATGATGATGATGATGTTGATGATGATGATAATGATGATGCTGCTGATGATGATTATGATGACGATGATGATGATGAGGATGATGATGAGGATTATGATGATGTCTTATGTCAAACTTATTGGTGTACCTTATGGCTTCTTATTATACTCTTTTTCAAAGGATGTTGTAAAGATTATTGATAACATTTTAGAAGTTGATTCCAAATTACAAGACGATGAAAACCGGCCTCAAGCAGTTAATACATCGGCAAGAATCATCGGTGCATTGGACAACCAAATCACAAAGACTTTCGCAGAAGAGTCAAACTTCACTGTGGCAAATAACAATAACATCGTATTAAAAGCTGTTACGTTTGATAAAAACTTCCTCACGAACGACTTACAATTTTCTGCTTCGGCAGACAATTTGTCGCTGGTATTCGCAGACGCAGAACCGACGAATGCTCTCGTATCAGGCTCCATACCAAAGAACATATTAATATCCAAAACAGGTATAGCAACTGTTGATTGAATATATTACAGTACATTTAAAGTGTCATAAATACACACATTTTTACCTCCGTTAACCAGTTATCAGCTGTTATTTTTATGTTTTCGGTGTAATAATCATAATACACAAAGGCCTATACGTTGTTTTTCATATAGGCTTATGGTAAAATTTGCATCCAATCCTATCAACATCAGTCTAGACCTTCCACCTGTGAAAGTCCCTCTCCGGGCCCCCTCTATTTCAAATTCCTGGATTCCTGAAGTACTGTATTGTAAAAAAAAAGGCCGCCAATTACAATAAGAATGTGTTTCACGTTCACTTTTTTTAATTTATTTTCCTCGCCCAATTATAGAAAAAATTCCTGCAGAATTTAAAACATCGTAAGCAGTAAGCATATAATAATACTCATGTGTCCTGCTTTTCTTACATAAGAGGAGTCTGTGCCATGTATATACATTTTACCATCTTTCTGTAAAGCAAAAAAAAGAAGGCCTCATTATCCTTTTTTCAAAAAAGCCTGATCGAGGAACGTGTTTTCGATATGTTGATGATAATGGTACTCAACGGCATTGTATTGAATACCTTTATTTAGCTCTTTATTCAGCAATGTTTTAAATTGTTAAACAATATTTCCTTTACATTACTGAGTAATCAACAAACGTTTGACGTTAGATAGGTTGACTCAATGATAATTAACAACATTTATTTAAATTATTAATTAATTAATTGATTATTAGTTCAACAGTAATACGCAATTAGTATGCGTATCATACACTAGTGGATATTAGGCCTATTATACGAAGGTTAAATGCATGAAAAATACAATTTCGTTTACAGATCAATCAACGAGCATGCTCCAAGTAAGCTTCGTTGTGTTCCACAGATCGGGCCTGTTCTTTCTTGATGATAACTTAAAAACTAACAATAGCAACCAACAAACGACCATATGGCGGAGGGTAATAGGGGTGAAGGTGGAACAAATCGACACAGAGAAGCCCCTTGATAACAACGTGACATATAACTTCAATAACGTCAAGGTAATTTAGAGCAAATTAAGCTGCCCTCACTGTACCAGGTTGTTTCCGTCCCAGTGTCGCACAAAACGCGTTGTCTAATCGGCAGGCGTAACTGGTATATGCAAGTTTCATGCCAGTTTACCTACTCAGAGTTAGCTACGGGTTTCCAGAGTTAGTTACGAGTTTACTATGAGTTAAGTGTCTAAGCGAGTTAAAACAAATTAAGTGCGATGGATAACCGCCGACAAATTTTCCGAGTTGTCAACGAGAAATACCACGAGTTCTCTAAGAGTTACCTCTTCGGGTTTTGAATATTTTCAAAATTACATCCACGAGTTTGTATCAGCTACGAGTACGAACTCTCCCCGAGTTGCGAGTCCCCCGGACTTATCTTACGAGAGTTCTCCACATTTTTGTTGAGTTACAACTCGGCAAACTGCGAAACTAGTACGCAGGAAAACCCTATAGGTGTGAGATATAGGTAGTCTACAATTTTTGTTTTCTCAAGAGGACTACCAGCTCACCACAATCATGGCATCATTACTTAAGAGATTGACCCTAATCACTGAGATTCGTTGTCCACTGAGTCCAATCCCATGACCGTTTATTATCGAATGATTCTTAAAGTCGAATCTTGTGAATATGCTAATATGAAACCATATATTTCGATGAAATAAGAACGAATAAAACGAACTAACGAACGATCGGTGTGAATAAACGTGAATATGGTCCTCCTGCCATTTTAATATTAAATAATTAAAATTAAAATTACTGAATAAAACATTTAATCTGTGTATATTTCTATTCTATATTATGAAGCTCATGGATAAGACATGTTTCAAGGCTCGATGTTCATACAGCGACGCAATATCGAACGTGCTGCGTGAAGGCTGCATCACAAGTGATCGTGGAAATGGTGACGTGTCGTGTTCATGTAACAGATTGGGGCACGTTGCCTTACTACTGGTAAATACCTTGTTTAAATGTAGGCCTATATTGTAAGTCCCACAATTTCTAAACACTCAAATTCAACATAAAAAATTGAATCGCTCATTTAAAATACTTTTAAAAACGTCCTATGAGAAGCAGACCCTTCAATTTTTGCCCTTTACAAGAACATCATATGCCGTATAGGCCTATGATGAAGTCTGCAAAATTGAATTATAACATTGATTATTTAAAAGAACCAACAAATTTGGGTTTTTTGGAACTTGTGGCCATCCACATCAGACAGTTCAGCACATCATGAATGACTATCTTGAGGAAGGTGGCCAACCATATCAGAGAGTTCACCACATCGTGAACGACTGTACTCAGTAACCGCAGTTTAACGCTATAGTGTTCAATATTTGAACACATGTACTACACTGTACTGTACTGGAGGTCTAAGTGTTCAAAACTCTAACACTTCATGTTCAAAACACCTAAATTACAGTGTCTCTTGAGGATTGGAGAAAATTCACCACACAACAGATGCCACTATACAGAAGTTGACTGGGTTGACCTGATACTTAGTGACCGACTTCCATATGTACTTCTTATACTGTATATGCTTTTTATATTTAAATTTCAAATAAATTAAAAAAAATAAAAATAATAGTTTCTAGTTATTTTTCTTTAATTTGCACTGCTTGTCATCCGCAAGAAGAGTAATTATCAACTATTGCGAAATGACAGACTTATTAACATTTAAAAAAAAATCAAATCAGTTAAACAATTTATTTAGTACAGGTTTTTGCAATTTGTAGACAGTTGCCGAAAGCAACAGCATCCTTTCATACATGTAGGCTTAATTGTTGTGTTTCAGGATCCAGTCCAGGATAACAAACTTGGAAGAGAGCATGTACTTGCACTGCATTTCCTGTCCATCATTTTGTTTGGTTTATCTGCCATCCTCTTAATCATCATCTTGTTAGCATACTTAAGTAATAAGTAAGTATGCTATATAGGATACCAGTATAACGAGATGATAATGATGGCGATAATATTTGATGAAGATATATTGATCAATGATGATGGTTTTGGTAGCTGTGATGGTGGTTTTGTGATTATGACGGAGGGGTATCGTTAACGATTGTAACGATAATGTGAGGTGGTATTGGTGGTTATGTATGTGATGGCGATAATGATAATGATGCTGATAATGATGATGATGAGGATGATGAAGATGGGTGTGGTGATGAAGATAATGACAGTGTTTGTGATAATGATGGTAATGAAAACAATGCTAGTAATACCATGAAAGTGTTGTTGTTGATAATGATGATGATGATGATAATGATGATGATGATGATGATGATGATGAGGATGATGAGGATGGTAATGAGGGTGATGATGAAGATGGTTGTAGTGGTGGTGTTGGTAGTGATGGCGACGACGACAACGACGACGATGATGATGGCGGTGATGATGATGATCATTATCATCATCATGATCATGATTATAATTATTCTAAAATGATATTGGTCTCTTTTCAGATTAATCAGAAAAAGAGCACAATCCAAAGTTTTGATTTGTTTATTCTTCTCTCTCGCTGTATTCGACATACTTTACATTGTCAGCAACTTTTCACCTAGTTCACTAATTTTGTGTAAAGCCATAGGAGTCGCTCTTCACTATTTTCTTCTAGCCTCAGTTATGTGGATGGGTGGCGAAGTCTTTACTTTGTACATGAATATCGTACCGAAAACTATATTTGATTCAGATAACCAGGTATTCGTAAAGAAGGTCGCCAGTGTTTGTTTTCGTAAGTATCATTACATTGTCATAACGCTATAATAAAATTATATTATAATGATGATGATGATGATGATAATAATGACGATAACAATATTTTCCTTAAGCAATAGCTGCTGTTATAAAGGAGCAATTATTGTCCTCAATCTAAATAGTTTCCTTTTGTTTCACAGTATAACTCATAATGTTATATTTTACACTTTCTATTATTATTATTATCATTATTATTATTATTATTATTATTATTATTATTATTATTATTATTATTATTATCATTATTATTATTATTATCATTATTATTATTATTATTATTATTATTATTATTATCATCATCATTTGTCATCATCATTATTATTGTAATTGTAATTGTTAGTTATTATTACCCTTATTATTTATATATTCATATTTGATTAGAAAACATTAAGCAATCCTCTGTACAAAACTGCTATATACTGTACATTCGAATAAACGTCTTCTGGAATAAACGCGAATTTTTTTATCGTATGTAAGTTGAGCACAACTTAATGAATTATTCATTTATGGTGGCTAAAGGCATTACTTGCGCATGCGCAATCTCGTACTCGCTGTAGTTTTTTTCCACGTCGCGGTGAGCGAAGGTTGGACTATCGGTGGGATTAGCTGTGTGTGGGGTGGTAATACCTCCGTGGTTTATGCTGTAATAAGCAAGCTTACATTAACAGTAAACTGGACAAATAGATGGGGCCTAGCATAGGCCATATATTATATACTACATATATTTTGGGCCTGCTCTCCCTCCCTATCGCCTACGCCATAAAGTATAGTACAGCACTGTACTTTGAAGGCCGAAGCAATCTTACTATTATTCTTATAGGATATATATTAATTTTACTTACTATTATTCTTATATGATATGTATTAATTTTACTAATTATTATTCTTATATGTATTAATTTTTAATTTTTTTATGTATTTTTAAAATTTTTTTATATGTATTAATTTTACTTATTTTTATTGTTATGATATGTATTAATTTTTAAGTTTTTGTTAGGGCATGTATTTAAAAAAATGTTTATGATATGTACTAAATTTTTTATTAATTTTACATATTATTCTTATATGTCTTAATTTTTGAAAAAAATATTATATTAGTCTAATGATTACATTAATTTTTGGAAAAAAGTTAATAAACCTAAATCGTAAAAATCATTCCACATAGAGTCTCTAGAGTATCCTTATGGTAAGCTGGATATCTGTGACTTTTGGGTGAATTTTTTAACTCTGAACTTTGCTTTTCTTCAGTGATTAAAATGAAATTATCATGCAGTGCAGTGTAAGCGTTTTCCTTTTTGCGGTGTGTCTGTTTATATTATTTGTTAGTGTAGGCCTTTATATATTTTTGCTGATTAAGTTAATAGTAATAATTCTTTGTTTATAATCTTTTTTGTTCTTTTATAAAATGTACAATGTCACGTGGATGCACCACCTTTGTGTGTGCCACCGACACAAAGGTTCAATTTCCCAATAAATACTTTACAAACCCAGTTCATTGAGGCACGATAAAGGAAGAGACATTTATCTTGTTTTGGTTGCGGTCGGAAGACTGCAAAATACAGTAGGTTCAGCGAAGCGAGACTGCGCATGCGCTAGTAATGCCTTCAGACACTCTAATGAATAATTCATATTTTTTTTCTCAACATACTGTATCTACGATAAAAAAAAATTCGCCTTGGGGCTAGAGCCTCACTTGAAATAAACGACACCCTCAAATATGCGCCCCCTAAATGACTGTCAACAAATCTATTGGAAGCATCATCATTCTCAACACACTCTATTAATGTTTTCTTACCTGGTTGGGATCAATACGTCTTTATGCTCACGCAATTCAATAACACATTTTGACGATAATTATGTGTAGTTGTTCCACATTTTACAGCGAAATTAAGGGGTGTATATTTGAGCATATACGTATCAATTTAGATTACAAAAAAAACGCCTCTCTCTCAAAACCCTTCGAAATTACGGTAAACAAATTGATTGCATGATGACGTAATAATACACTATCTAACTACATTCAAAGAGTGTTACTCTACTTCACTTGAAATTTTCATTTTTGTTAATTATAGTGTTACCAATAGTACCTGTAATTGCCGGTGCTGTCTATGTTTTCAAAATTGAATGCGTCAATAACGAATATCAGTAAGTTTTTGTGATTCATATTAAAATTTTCTAGGGGGCTAAGTTGTCCGACAGGGGAAGACTTGAGCTCGTAGGCTCGAGCTGGGAAAAGGGGTTGAGAGGGGATTCCCCCTCCCAAATGAGATTTTTTTTAAAAGAATATCAACCTCTAGATAACCGAAAATGGCACTCTTAGACTGTGACAGACATGTGTTTGCTTGGTGTGGGCCTATTTTTATATATTTTATGGTCTGGTGACTGCCCGACGAGCTCTGTCCGGCAGGGTGAGGGGGGCTTGACCTGTCCGGTGGGGGGCTTAAGCCCCCTGCCACCCCGCTGGCGCCGCCACTGTTCAGATGTGTACACCTGTCTCTTATACACATCTAGATGTGTATAAGAGACAGGAATATAATATAACGTAACAGTATATATATACATTTTTTTTTTTGCAGATGTTTCATGTTAAGTGGTGTCATATTTTACTGTACATTGGTTGCTCCTGTGTCTTTGATTTTGTTGGTTAACGTTGTATTATTCGTGCGCATACTGTCTTCACTCTTTACAAAACCCGACTCTTCAAATATAGCAAAGATGAAAAGGCTACACCGTCTCACCCGTCACGTGTTAACTATCTTCACTCTTTCTGGTGTCACGTGGTGTCTCGCTTTTTTCTCTCTGAATTTTGATGGATCTGTTGCATTCAACTATATGTTTACCATATTTAATGGTTTTCAAGGCATCGTTATTTTCATTCTGTTTTTCGTGCTCAACAAGGAGTTAAAGAAAAAGCTGTCAAGGAATCGTGTAGTCAGGTCGATAAGATATGGATTTCGACCACCTATAAAATCGAACACGGACTCCAATCTGCAACATTTTAAACAAAATCAACAAATTTCGGAGGACACTTCATATACAATAGGCGAAAGTGCAACGCATGCGGTGTCCATCTAGAAATTTGTCACTGTCTTACTAATAATCGGTCCTCGCACTGTTAGAATGATAAGTTTTGTATTTATTCAGCGAAATTGATAATATGTACATCAATAACTATTATATTATACCATACTCGCGCAAATAAGCGCCCCGTTTGAATATTTGAAAATTTCCTTAAGCGCCCCGTTTGAATAAGCGCCCCCTTATAAGATTTTCTTTTTAGCAAGTCAATAATCCAATCAATCCTGGGACTGTGTTTGTTGGCATGATTTGAGCTGTAGAGTGGAAACATATTCTTCTTCAGTCAATATCAAAATAAGGATATTTCTCTTGAACAGATGAGAGCTCCGATCCCTGGACAGATGAGAGCTCCGATCCCGGGACAGACAGTATATTTCCAACTTTAATCTTTTTTACATGTCTTGTCCTACTTCTCTTTTTCTTTTTTCGACCTTAAGCACATTCTCATCTGAGTTTTCAAGGTAAATACAATGATTCTGTCATCCTGCTAATCTCAATCGGCCGATGGCCAACAAGCTAACCACTACCCACCACTAACTGCATCTGCTATTTTGCTGTAAATATTCACGCATTCTTGTTATGAGCCATGTTCTCTGGACGATTATCTTTTGTAACCACCATTCGTAATGTCCTTATATAGGCCTAATCTTTTTTTCATTCAAAAAATGCCTCTTGAATTTTTAATTATTAAAATAATTTCCCATAAGAACCCATCGATTTTCATCTATTTTCCATAAGCGCCCCCTCAATTTCCACTCTGTTTTCATAAGCGCCCCGTTTAAATAAGCGCCCCTCAGAAAGTGCAAAAAAAAATTTTAAGCGCCCGGGCGCTTATTCGCGCGAGTACGGTATTTTGTGAACATCAAGAGTTCTCAGTTCTGTGATTGACTGCTCAGCAGCACAACCTGTTTTGCACTTTCTCGGAATGTAATGTAACAAAAGACAGTCACAAGATAAGAGTAACGTAGGCTTAACACAATTTACTATTCAACCATATCTGTACAGTATAGTTATTATTCATAAAACAGTATTTAGGATATAAAGGTGACTGAAAGCAGAATAGATCTAAGTCGTTCAGATACAGTGGCGGCTCTATGATATATTTTCTAGGGGGCTAAGTTGTCCGACAGGGGAAGACTTGAGCTCGTAGGCTCGAGCTGGGAAAAGGGGTTGAGAGGGGATTCCCCCTCCCAAATGAGATTTTTTTTAAAAGAATATCAACCTCTAGATAACCGAAAATGGCACTCTCAGACTGTGACAGACATGTGTTGGCTTGGTGCGGCCTATTTTTATGTTTTATGGTCTGACTGCCCGACGAGCTCTGTCCGGCGGGGGGCCTGACCTGTCCGGTGGGGACTTAAGCTGTCTCTTATACACATCTAGATGTGTATAAGAGACAGGTTCTGGGGTGTGGGGGGGGGGGGAGCCTAGAAATGTGTACTTTCACACCTAACCAAATTGGTGACCCTGACATGATCTACTTTGGTTAGGTGTGAAAGTACACTTACTAATCTGCGTTCTTCAAGAGGTATGAGGCCCGTGAGGAGCAAGTAAAATAATTGTATGTATTAATTAATTACTATCAGTCGTGGGAAGTCTTCTGGCATGTCATTCATGTCATGAAGTTGGTTGAGCATGTGTTTGTGCGAGGGCCTTGTGTATAATGATCTTAGGTCATTAGTCTCTCCGCAGACTGTGGTATGAGCCCCTACTGTATACATCTTTCAGAAGGCGTGGGGGGTCCCTGATGCTATGGCTCATTTCAGCTCCTGTAATTGTGGAGTCTATCATCGTGAGCAGCTGTTTACTGTAGCTAGGTAGTCATGGACCATGCCTATACGCAAATCAGCACAATGTGACACTGCAACTTGGAAAAGAACATTGGAAAAAAAATTCTAAATTTAATAACATTATAAACTAAATTCATTTGGTCTGAATTAATTCAGTAGGCCTACTAGTACAATTAGCTTTGAAACAGAAAGTAAAACAGTATCATTGCAGTTTCATAAAGGGAAACATAAACAAATGCAGGATATAATGAGAAAAAAATGTAACAGTTTATAGTAGTAGTATTAAGGTTAATATACCAATACCACAATTTGTCAGAATTTCCTTTCTTCTCATTCATCCAAGGCTAACTAAACTCTTGCTTGTTTTAAATGGCAGTAAAGCCACAACTTTTGTTGTCCAAGGTGATACATTCTGTTAAAATTACTCATGATTTTGATTAATATTCTGTGATTTTATATTAATGTGATGTCCATAGGATCAATCAAAGTCTGATATTAAATTTAAATCTTATACCTGTACATTGTCTGTCTCTTATACACATCTAGATGTGTATAAGAGACAGCTTATTTAATCTTTTTTCATTCAAAAAGTGCCTCTTGAATTTTTAATTATTGAAATAATTTCCCATAAGAACCCATCGATTTTCATCTATTTTCCATAAGCGCCCCCTCAATTTCCACTCTGTTTTCATAAGCGCCCCGTTTAAATAAGCGCCCCTCAGAAAGTGCAAAAAAAAATTTTAAGCGCCCGGGCGCTTATTCGCGCGAGTACGGTATTTTGTGAACATCAAGAGTTCTCAGTTCTGTGATTGACTGCTCAGCAGCACAACCTCTTTTGCACTTTCTCGGAATGTAATGTAACAAAAGACAGTCACAAGATAAGAGTAACGTAGGCTTAACACAATTTACTATTCAACCATATCTGTACAGTATAGTTATTATTCATAAAACAGTATTTAGGATATAAAGGTGACTGAAAGCAGAATAGATCTAAGTTGTTCAGATGTGTACACAGCGTAATAAAATAATATTCTGTATTTATTTTCTTACTGCGTCAATGGTACTATAGTTATACTTTGAAATACCGTACTCGCGCGAATAAGCGCCCGGGCGCTAAAAATATTTTTTTGCACTTTCTGAGGGGCGCTTATTTAAACGGGGAGCTTATGAAAACAGAGTGGCGCTTATGGAAATAGATGAAAATCGAAGGGTTTTTGTGGGAAATTATTAAATTCAAGAGGCACTTTTTAAATGAAAAAAGATTACCGTATATAAGGACATTATGAATGGTGGTTAGGCGGAAAGGATAATCGTCCAGAGAACATGGCTCATGGCAAGATTAATGCATGAATATTTACATAACAGCAAAATAGCAGATGAAATCAGTGGTGGTGGTTAGTGGTTAGCTTGTTGATCATCGGCCGATTGAGATTAGCTGGATGGCAAGACCATTGTATTTTTTCTTGAAAACTCACGAGAATGTGCTAAAGGTCGGAAAAAGAAAAAGAGGAGTAGGACTAGGCATAGACAAATATGTAAAAAGAGTGAAGTTGAAAATATACTATCTGTTTAGGGATCAGAGCTCGCATCTGTCCAAGAGAAATATCCTCATTTTGATATTGATCTAAGAAGAATGTGTTTCCACTCTGCAGCTCAAATCATGCCAGCAACCACAATCCCAGGATTGATTGACTTACTAAAAAGAAAATCTTATGATTAAGGGCGCTTATTCAAATTAGAAGGGGCGCTTATTCAAACGGGGCGCTTAAGGAAATTTTCACGTTAAGAGGGGCGGTTATTCGAAAGGGGCGCTTATTCAAACGGGGCGCTTAATCGCCCGAGTACGGTAAAGCTACAGACCTCGTCATTTGCCTAAATTTACAGTATAGTACACATACATATTATTATTGCACTGTAACAAAAAGCATGTAGGCCTATCAGTACATAGACAATGTTCATTTTATGTCGAGCGCTGACAAAGACATACAGGAGTAGTCGAAATATTCGTTGCAATAAATTTTAGTGTTTCTAAAGTCAACATTTTCAGTAACCG